TTCCTTGTCTGCTGTCCAGAAGTCCTCCCCAGAGACCTCCAGTCCCGGAGGGCCCAGCTTTCCCCTGCGCCCGGCCTGACCCTCCCGCAGGGGTCGCAGGGGGCTGCCCGGAGCCGAGGGGAGCAGGCGGTCCCTGCGGCCGGAGCAAGCGGAGCCCTTTAGAGAGGCTGTGGGCGGGGGCGCTGGACACACTCCTGTCAGGCGCTCTCTAACCCGGACGGACACCCCGTCTCTCAGGGTCCCCGCAGACCCCTCCTGGGCTCCCACACACAATGCCCTTCCGTGGGACACAGAGGCACATCCCCTGACGGACCAGACCTGCTTCCACCGCTGGCTCAGGCACTCACTGCGCCGGAGCCACGAGCTCAACCAGGGAACGGGCACCAGGCAGTGATGGCAGCAACTGTCACCCAGCTGCCCCAGAAGTCTCTCCCGCCCTTCCCCCTCGCAGAGCCCGCACTCCTGCCCAGTCACACTGTGCACACCACCCTGCCACGCCCGCTCGGCCGCTAGTGACACTTCACATTCCTCCCCACAATCCCACCTGCTTGTTCACACCGGGGCTCCTGCCCGATCCCTCAGAGCCCCTCCCAGGCCTTTTGGTTAACAACACCCTTTGAAACTCACCCACACACTTACCCCTACTATTTCCTAACTTCTTCCCCTGCCTCGCTAAAGCCGGTGGCTCAGCTTCCCTGGCCTCAGCTTTCTCTGAGCACCCCCAGGGTCCTTTTGCAGCACCATCCAGAACCCTCTCACTCCAACGAAAGCCCAACTCCTGTGGGCACATGGACTTCACAAGGCAAGGCAGCTGGCCTGCCTGGCTGCTGCTTTCCCAGGCCTCAGTTTCTTGTCATTTAGGTGGAAGTGTGGGGGGGGTGGGGCTGTTGAGGAGGACAGCAGAGACAGAGCCCGCGTGTTTCTGCTGAGGAACTTGAGCATGCACGGTGCAAAGCCCTCACTACAGCCCCATTACCTGATGGGTTGCTGGCAAAGCGAGGTCTCCTGACTTCTGGGGGCTCATGTGTACTCACTCACTAAGCCACCTCTCAGCAGCCTGGGGGACAGGAACCAAGGAGAGGATGGAGGGGAGGGCAGGCCAGGCAGCCCAGAGGACAGGAAAGTCCCGCTGTGACTGTGGGCCTTTCCCTGGGAAGGCAGGTTGGGAAGCTCCCCCATGAACCTGTTCTTAGTCTCAATGCCTGGATCTCATACCACAGTGGGCACCACCCCCTAACCTGCTTCATTCCAATTCCCCTCAATAGACCCCTTCAAAGTCACCAGGATGCTTTCCTGATCTGGCCTGAGGGCAGGGCTTTTCCTTCTGGCTCCCACACTTAGCCCTACACTCTGGAGCTTGGCGATGCCTCCCTGGCTCCTATGCATTCCGCTGATAGCTCTTAGCCACCACTTCCAGGAGCAGTCTCCCGGCTGACTTGTCCTGCTCACCCTGCCCATCCTGGCACATCTGTACTGCCGAGCCCCACACCCTTCGTGAGTGGAGTGAGGTCAGCCCGGGGGATACAGGCTACAGACTGAGGGGCAGCTGGCCAAAGACATGCGCACACAGGTGTGCCTGTCTGCAGCGTGTCAGGGTGGCCATGCGCTTGCAGTCCGAGGTGTGCCTGTGAGTGTTCATGAGGGGGGCCGTGGTTCCCAGAGCCCAGGGATCTGGATGGAATTAGGGGCCGGCCCAGGCGGGGGCCAGGATGGGGGGGTGAGGGGGGCTGCAGCAGGAAACGTGAGCTGCACTCATTAGCTCCTCACGTGCTCAGCCGGATTTATAAACACAGGGGAAGACGGGATGTAAACAATCAGTGGGCAGCAGCCAGAGCCAGAGCTGGGGCGGGAGCTGGTTGGGTGCCAGGACTGGGAGATGGGGCCCAGGACACAGTCCTTAGTGGCCAGGTCCACCTGCACACCATGAACTTGGAGAGAAGGATCAATGAGGGCTCCAGGATACCCACTGCACTCTCCCTCCTAGGGACACAGGCAAGCTGCAAGCTACTTACAACTAAACCACAGCTTGTCTCTGCCCCAGATGCTTTTGCTCCCTGAGATATGGGAACATTTTGCCCGGAGTGGAAGCTGTCATGACAGAGGGTAGAGCCCCATCCTGTCCCCTTTCTCCTTTCCTAGCCCCTTTTCCCTCTGGGTTTCTGAGTCTCCTTCCCTCTTTCTGGTTCTCTCTATGGGTCAGTCAGTTGGATCCTTCTGCTCTCTCCCTTGCACCCCCCACCCACCCACACTGCAGTGACAGTTACCTCAGAACTGAAATATTCCTGGAAACACCGGCCTTGTCTGGTTAATTTCATGAGCCGTTTTTCTGCCCAGATGACTTAGCTCTTGTTTATCCAAAGGCTTCTCCCCCTCTCCCCCTACTGTCCCTGTGTAGGGAGCCAGTGCTCCCCAGGGATGTCCCACAGGGCCCAGAAGAGGAGGGGGGAAACAAGTCCCATAGCTGCGTTCCTGACTGTCCCCCCCCCCCAATGGGATAAGCAGAGCCCTGCCCCAGAACTCTTGTCTAGCAGGGTTGCCCAAAGCAGGGTGGGGTAAAGAGGCAAGCCCAGCTCCCAATTCCTGCTTCAGCCAGGACCCTCAGCATTGCCACTGACTGCCAGCCAGGCCAGACTCAATCTTGAAAGCTACCTCAAGGCTGGAAGGGCCACTGCCCACCTCAGCAGGTCTCTACCTCCAAAACTAACCCCACCTTGTACCAGTAGGATCTTGGGAGTGACTCAGTCAGATAGCCAGGCTAAGGGTAGCCCAAGGCTTCATGCAGAGGAGAAGGGCCTGGAGTTGTCTTGGGGTGTGAAGAACAGGGACTAGAAAGGAGCTCAGAGTCAGCAAGAGCTCAGATAGAAAGAAAGATTAAGGAAAGGAACATTCAGGAGGGAATGCACAGGCTGGAGATGGGGGAAGAGCAAAAAGGGAGCCTGTCTCCTCAGGGAGCAGTTATGTGCCTGACCCTCCTCTCTGTCCTAAAACACATGCCTGAGACACACACACACACACACACACACACACACACACACACACACACACACACAAGAGCCCGTCACCCAAAGGGCAGGTCCCTGAGACTAGCAGGACCCTCACTCCCACGCTCCATCAGTAAAGCCAGTCAGTCACACATCTGAAAGTCAAGACTGACCAGTTGGCATGGCTCAGTGATTGTCGACCTCATGATTCAATTCCCAGTTTGGGCACATGCCCAGGTTGTAGCCTTGATCCCCACTGTGGGGCATGCAGGTGGCAGCCGATTGATGATTCTCCCTCATTTCTCTCTGAAATCAGTATATATAAGGACTGACCAGTTGGGGACACTGCAGGAGTCCCACCTGATCCTTACACTCTGTAAGAGACATTCTATACAATTTGAATCCTAAACCCTTCCAAGTTTTACCCTCTCTAAAGCCCTGACCCAGTATTATGACTAACTGTAACCTTAACCTAGTCTTAACTCAAACCTCTCCTAACTCTAAGTACAGTCAAATTGTTAAACCCATATCCAACTTACTTTTATAAAAACAACACAAATCATTGCAGAAAATGTGAAAGTATAGAATATAAATTAGAAGGAAAAAACTACTCATGGTCTCACATCTATCCAAGCTCAAAATCCACTAGCTATATTCTTAGTGACATGCCATGCATCACCCTATCTGAAAATCTGAATCAACACATTCACAAACCGTAGTCCCAGCCAACCCTCTGCCTGCCCAAACCTAACCACATCCCCCAGCTGGACTCAAACCTCAACCACACTCACTCAGCCAAATCCCAATAAATTAACCTGAAACTTTAAAAACAACCCAGTCCTTAAAGCTAACCTAGCCCAATGCCAATTATAGCCTTACCTTATCCTAACCTTAATTGCTTTACCCAGTCCCAATGCCCAATGAATCCTGGCCAAGTGTTCTTGATCTTGAACCTCACCTAAAAGCTGGGAAAATCATGTTTCCCAACCACCTATGTCTGTTCTCACAGCACTGACCCCTGCCCTCTGGCATCCACAGATGTCCAGACTCTCCAGCGCCATCAGCTGACAGACACAATTCATTGAATACATCATTTTCTCTCTTCCTCTCCCTTCCTTCCATCCTCCCTGCCCCCCTCCACTGATTGAAAGCTGATTGAAAGCCTCATGCAGCTTAACCTTTTCCCCGTCTAAAACCCTATATAACAGTGGTTCTCAACCTGCCTGATGCCGCGACCCTTTAATACAGTTCCTCATGTTGTGGTGACCCCCAACCATAAAATTATTTTCATTGTTAATTCATAACTGTAATTTTGCTAGTGTTATGAATCAATGTAAATATCTGATATGCAGGATGTATTTTCATCGTTACAAATTGAACATAATTAAAGCATGGTGATTAATCACAAAAACAATATGTAATTATATATGTGTTTTCTGATGGTCTTAGGCGACCCCTGTGAAAGGGTCGTTCGACCCCCAAAGAGGTCGCGACCCACAGTTGAGAACCGCTGCTATCTAAGAATGGAGCACGCTTCCCTGAGGGTGAACGTTAACTCTCTGTTAACCCCATCCTGCATTTCCACACCAAGGATCATATCCTAGAATGTCCCTACCACTGACTGCATGAGCCAGCCCTGTGTCCTGCCTGACCCTGGTGGTCTGACCCTATACCTTGCCTCCTATAGCTTGACTGTGACTTATTAGTTAGGGGGTGGGGTGGGGGGACAGAGGAGGGAGGAGACAGCCTCTCTCCTCCACCTCTCCCAGGGCTGACTGCTCTCAGCTGGCAGCTCTGACATGTGCTGTTTCCCACCCCAACCCCTTGGCTCCCCACAAGCGGCAGTGGAACTGGAGGCTGGGAGAGGAGGCTGAGGTACACCTGGAACTTGGGAACACTGATTCGTGTCCCTAGGCCTGGCCCTCCTTGTACACATATCTACATGGTGGCACATACAGTGACTGTTAGCTGACCCACAAATATACTCTCCAGTATCTACTGGTATAATGTATAACATACATGCCTACACACACACACACACACACACACACACACACACATAAATGAGCAAACGCTCTCTGGGGCCAGGAATGCTCCCCTCCTCCATCCCCCCCTGCCTCCCATCTGGCGTTCCGCTCCTCCCTCCCAGCCCAAGGTGGGGACAGACACCTGAGGGGCTGCCAGCTGTTATCTCTACCAGGCCAGGCCCACCCTCATGCTTCTTGTCCACAGGGGACTCGTGGGGGATGCTAGCTTGCCTGTGCACCGTGCTCTGGCATCTCCCTGCAGTGCCAGCCCTCAATCGCACAGGGGACCCAGGGCCTGGTCCCTCCATCCAGAAAACCTATGACCTCACCCGCTACCTGGAGCACCAACTCCGCAGCTTGGCTGGGACCTATGTGAGTATTAGGGGCAGCTTTAGGGGTCTGGGAATTGGGCAAAGAATGAGGAGGTGGGGGAAGAGAATGGTAGAGGGGTCCTGATGAATGTGGGGTGATGAAGAGGGGACCTTTGGCTCCAAGCAGTCTCCATGTCTGGCCTGTCTCTTGCCCTTCCCTCTAGGGTGCCCCTTCCTCCCCATCCCTGGCCCCAGGACTAGGCATGTGGGCAGGCCTCGCACCCGCCTTGGCCCATTGCCCCACTGGCTGACTGCCCAGCCGCCCGCCTCCCCCTGGGGGCCAGGGAAGTCTCCTCTGTTTACACCGTGTTGTGGTGTCTCTTGCAAGGGTGGGGCTGGGTGGGGATGGAGGGGCCCCACCTCCCATGCCTATGTTCCAGCTCGCCTCTGCCCCAGACCTGGGGCCCTGCTGCTCTGGACCCATGGGCCTTCCTTCTGTCTGCCTCTCCCATCCTAGATGGGCCTCCTAGGGCGGACTTGTGGGAAGGGGGCTGCAGGGAACCCAGGCCAGTAGTGGCAGGGGGCTCAGGGTGTGGATTGAAGTTCTGCCATAAGAATTTGGGGGCAGTCCAGAGGTGTTTGGAGAGCCCAGGAGAGGAGGAAGGAGGGTCATAGTTAGCGAGGACCACGGGAACTGGCCCCCTCTTCCCGTGTTCCTCCTCTACATCCCAGACCCTACTCTGGAGCCAGGGAAAGAAAGGGGAGGAGGGTGGCGGGGGAGCTGGCTCCAGCCCCAGGATACACCGAGGAAATTAGTTTGTCTCTGTGCTTGTCAGCGTGTGAACCTCCCCCTGGGCCCTTGCCTATCCCAGGCCTCGCCCCTCTCTTCTCCCTTTCTCTCCCCGCTGAACTGTCTCCCTCAGCCCTTTCCCTGGGCCCCAGGCTTCTCCCCCGGG